AAGTATAACATGAAATACCCGTGAATACCCGTAAAAAAATATAATTAAAATTTAATTTGTATTATTTTATGCACATTATATTGTATTTATTATTATATTTATTATTTATAAATATAATTATAGCATTTTATTTTATTTTATTTTCATACTTAAATGATCAGTAACTGTTGTATTAGTTTGTAGATATATATCATTACTATCATATGATATGTTATAAAGTACAAATACCCCATCTTTTATTTTATATGAATTTTATACATTTTATTTATAATATATCCATTTAGAGTTTTTATGTACCTAAGTGCCTTTATACTTGAGCTATTATTTCTAAAAAACATCAATTTTTTTAATTAAGTGAAATGTAAATATATTTTTAAATAAAGTTAAAGGAAGGAAAATGTTGACAGCAATAGATTGAGGTAAAAATTGGTATGGGTGGCAGAATTGATATGTTGTTTTTAGACTAGCCGCACTAGTGAAGTATATATAGTGGCGGATCGACAGGTCCCAAACGAACTATAGTTTAAGCATCATAAGGCAAAAAAAATGGTGTATTTCATTTGAATTTTCAAGTTTTTTGCAAAATTTAAATTTAAAAAGGCACTCTTAAAAATATGTTTTTAAGAATAAGTTTCAATTGAGACATCCATATTATATGTGAAATATGGATATTGGTGGAATTAATATCGTATTAGCGGGACATATATGCTCCAACACAATTTTCTGATAATTTATTATAATTTTAATTTAATGGGGCAATTTTTTTTTATTACTGCTAATAATGATTAAATTAAAATGTGATACAATTTATGAAACAAATCAATCCTTTATGTTTATTAAGCAATTGTAAACACTGTTAAATAAATAGGCGTAATATACGTTTATATTCACGTGAACAGTTTACTAGCACTTATTGACTGTAAGTGAGTGAGTCTTAGTATACTGAAGTTTAAATAAAATGCAGTTTCCACAGTCATATAGCTGTAAAAATGAATCAAAGTATTACAATTATACATTTTAACTATTATATTCGATATAGAGCTTCTTCTCCAAGTTGTTTATATTTATTTGATCAGTTGTTATGATAATTTTAAATTTAATTTTAACGCTGATTTGCTATTCAGTTACCATGGGTGTAATAATATATATGCATAAAACAAATTCATCAGTCTGCCTGTGAGATCGCCTGACATTAATTGATTTGCCATAAACATAAAGCACAATTCTATTGTATATATAATAATATTTAGGTACTTTTGGTATATAAACGTTATTATGGACAGATCTTTGATATCGTTATTTGTTTTAATTAGGATTATGTTGGGTCGTTAAGATAACAAATAATGAACATTTTGTTTTTTTTTCGTTGATGGTAATAGGTTCATAAAAACCAATTGTCTAGAAGACTTAGTCCGAGCTTTGAAAAGGATAAAAATTAAAAACGGTATACACTCGTGATATCTCCATAATATCACTCTAGGCACCCTAGACCGGAGGTCACCAGCTGTCGATTTTTACGGACCTTGATACACTTAATTCTTTAATATAGTTTTATATTTTTTAATTTTTATAATATATAATATCTATTATGAATCAAAATATTTCCCTATACTGTAGGAAAAATGCAGATGTTTAAAAAAAAATGTCGAGAAGTTGACTGATACACCATTCACACAATCACACTATACACGGATAGCACGAGTGATAGCGATACGAGTGATTATCCACTAAAGTCAATAATTTATAAAATTGTACAAGGTATGCCTATTACCTTGGATTTTGATTAACAGTATAGATGATCATAATTTTTCTTAACGACTTACTGAAAATCAGTTGTACCAACTTAACACCAAATACTAAGAAACTCGTTTAAACTTAATTTTTATCATTAAAACGTACCTAATATTTTCTCCATTAATAGCTTTTGTTTACAATTTATTGTAATATCGTATATTTATAAAGATCATATTATTTTAATATAAATGAAATGGGTATTTGTTTAATATTGTAAATGTGTGAAAAAAAGATTTTAAAAGGTTTTTGGATAGCAGGAAGTTTGGTAAGTTTCAAAACTTACCCTCACGGAAATTAGTTGATGACCTCTGCTCTAGACCATAGTCCATATTATAGTCACACCTAAAATATAGACAACTCAAAGTAAAATGTATTACTGTACGTTGGCATCCATGGTAACTAGCAAATAAATAATTAAAATAAATGGGTATATAAAACTGTACGATGACAATGAATAATCAACAAAACATTATTTTAATGTTTGTTTTTTTATATTTTCCTCGCTACTCTCGGAATCTAAGAACTACTTAAAAAGGTTTCATCAGTAGGATTACAATATACCAATGTATAGATAAAAAATATTTTAAAACTTCACAATACCAAAAGTGTCAATGATTATTGAAATCATGATAGTCGTATAAAAATTTGACTAGGTGAGTGTTATGATTATTTGTGAGGTAGGAGATTTACTGTTGTATACGTTTGTATGTGGGGTGAGGATTTGTCACTAAAAACCCTGTTGGTCACCCATGCGAGTTCTAGCGAAGCTGCACAGTGAACACTGCAGTTTACCCGCATCGGTCATCACACATTAGAGAACGAGGCCAACCACCACGTTACAAGTTGATATTAGAGATAGCCACTAATTTAAAATATTAATTTGTAAATATAATAATTTATATTGGAGATTTTAACTGAAAATACATAACAATGTAATATAGTTGTAATACGCTGAACGGTAATAACAGGAATGACTCGATGTCGTAAACGCTTATCAAAAAATATTTTCTATTAAAAATGTATTATATATTTATGAATCATAATAGTATAGTTTATTTTCTAATCCGCGAAAAATGTATTATTCATAACTATATAACAGCAGTGTATTATAAATTGCTATATTTTGTTGAGCATAACCATAACAAGATCATGGTTCGTTTTTATAGAACTAAAAATAAAAGAGGTCCAAGAAGGCATTTTCTAAAGATCGTTGGACGTTGATATTTTAAGACAGTACTTGAGAATAAATTAGTTGAGAGAGACTGAATATGTACGTGTCTACAGAATAGATTGCGTAACGACTATTATACATGTATAGTATTTATGAAATATTGTGTATATAATATTGAAAATTAAAATAAACGTGCAGGAATATTCTAAAAAAAAAAACCTTTAAGAGATACCTACCCTCTCCCTATCCGATTTCATTCACTGGGTTTAAGAATAAATGAATGTTTTAACTTTATTGTTATTGTCAAAGCCAATGAGTTTTAATAACGGTCCGACCATTTTTTTCTCCTTTGTATATTTTTCTACCGCCCGTGCTATGGTTTCTCTCGCCATACAATATAATAATAATAATAATAATAACAATATGTTTGTTTGTTGTCTCGTTGCGATATTATACACGCGCTGCAGGTTTGTCACCATAAGTATACACACTTATACGCATAATATAACACATCTCTCGTATCAGCTTTATAGTTTTGGCCACGGGACCTATAAAATCCCTTTGGCCTTATAGACGCAATTCTCGGAAAGATTCTGTATTTTTAAACGCGCGTTGTCAATTTCTCTCGAGATTAAGTTTGTACAATAATATAAAGAAAAAAAAAGAGAGGAACCACACGGTATTCCCCGGTGACCATGTTCCGAGCGAGTTTCTCGATTTATCTTATACTCCGGAACGCCACATCATACATAGTATTATAAACACGCGTAGGTAGTAAAAGGGTTTCGCGAGAATGTGGTGAAAATAACGCTGTGTTTTCTATTGCGAGTATATACATATATGTGTGTATATTGTATATATGTACGATGTACATACTGTATGTGTAGCCGTATGATTCGTGTCTCTAATGCAAGACTCGTTCGCTCTACCCTCATGTTTTAAATATTGAATTGAGCATTGTGTTTTCGTCGTCCACAACGAAAACGTTTTACTACGAAAGCTGCATAAAAACAAACAATAATGCTGAAAAAAAAATACAGGAAATGGAAAAACGGAAAAACTATAGATGAACATTGTGTGGTAAAACGACAAAAATATACATAATTTTATGCATATAATATTTTTGTTTATTCATAATCAGTGCTAGGAAGCTGAATTATATTTCGTTAGATACATGTTGGATTTTGAATTTTGCTTCGGGTATTCACTATATCGGTTTGAATCCACAATAAGGAATATGATAAGCATCTAAACAGGCTATACGAGATGGAAAAAAAATATAAAATATCGGTATAAAATATAAATACATTTCATCGATTTTGGTATTGAGTACCGAATTTAGAATATATTATTCCGTTTTATAGGTATTGGTTTTTTTTTTAACATGCTACATATCAATTTAGATTATTTTTGTAGCCCAGTGTCACCGGATATTTGTTTTATCAAGTCTTAACACGGATAGATGATAGGTACAATATAACACGATTATTTATTGTTTATTTTCTGTAGTTGACACCCCCACAGTAAGGATACTAAATGTTATGTTCAAATCCATATTTACCACCCATGTATAGTGTGTTGAACCGAGCATGCGAACACATATTTTCTCTTAATAGTGAGTTTATCTACTCAAAAACTTCAAATTCCGACTTAGGTACACCATAATTTTCAAAAAAATCATCTGCTAACAATTTATTATTTACCGTAAAAAAGGTTGCTACTCCTTGGAAAAAAAAGTTTGTATCGTGACGGGACACATGGTATCATAAATCTAAATAATTTAAAATAAGGTTCTAGTATACGAGTATACCTACTTAAAAATTCCAAAATCCGAATTTGAATAAATTCATTACGAAAAGTAAACATCAGGGAGAAGATTCTTAGCCAACCATCCTGTGCATATTTTTCTGTACCAACTGAAATCTGATTTGTAACATTTATGCACAACGGTGAACAGGGTATATCCGATAAAAAAAAATTGATTTTCACACTCTTATTACATTTTTATGATGACACTCAAAAATTTGTGTTTCAGGCAAAGCCGAGCTGTACATAATACTTGCCCTGTTGATCGGCATGGCCACTGTCATAGTCGGTTGCTGGCTGTCGGACAATTGTTGGTCACCCGAACCGGAACAACACTACACGATAGCGTGGCACGACCGGCACCGATGGATATGATCTAGTCCGCCGCTGTCGTTCCGGATATATTTCAATAATAATAATGGATAAAACATTTTGATTTACATTTTAACCTCGCGTTTTTCTATATTACGACGTATAGAATCGTCGACCGAAGACACTATTCAATCGTAAATCATCGTAGAGCGAACAACAACAACAACAATAATATAATAATGATATTAATAATAATGATTTTTGGTCGGAAGTGATGGGTAATTAATTAATAATATGGAAATTTGTGTTATCTGATCGTAACGGTTTCTAACGGAGATTTATCGATATCCATGACAACAAAAATACATAGACTTTTGTTTCGTTGTATAACAAATTGTATTTTCAGTCGAACCAACTACCGACCGCTGTTACACTTGTTTGTCATACACGCAATTCATATAACACAGTTTTTCATATTTTTATTTTATTTTAAATTACATTTTTTGAAAATAATATTCTACAGTCAAACTAATATAAATTATAATAACTCTATATAGACGTCTCCGAAATGAAAACGTTGAATTAATGTTCGATAACTATTAAATAATTAAATTCCTCGATTGTATTTACCTACGATCGTCCAATGACATGAATTCAATTACTGAATCACTACTTGTACATATTGAGAAGTGTTGTTTTGTTTTTATAATATCATGTTAGCGGTGTTGCCGATATTATAAATCTGAACTTTTAACATGTACATAAAACGTATCCTATTATCCAATAAAGAAATCCTTATTTTTTTTAAACTTTGTGTATATTATAAAGTGACCCATCCAACCTTACATTGCGTTGTGAACTTACATTTTATCATAATATGTAACCCTTATAATAATATATACGCATGCATTTGACCTTTTGGACATGCATCTTTCCTTCTAGTTGTCAATTATTTACATGATATACATATGTATATATATATATTATATGATCGTGTATACATTTTTGTTTTAAGCCTTTTATTAACTGTCAATTACTTACAAAACAAAAGGCATTAGTTTAAATTTCGATAGAATAGGATAAATGTGTTGTTATGAATTTTAAACAAAATTGTATAACTAACTTAATACATTATTATAGTAGTTATTTCATAAAAATATAGTATAGTGAATAGTACCTATTATTATTTAATTTAATCAATTTTTGTTTTTAAATACAATGAAATGTGTTCATTAAAACAATATAGAAAAAACATATACAATTTTTAATTTAAAAATCATTGTTCAAAAAATAATATTTACAACCCATTGTTTACAATTATGTATGTGTTAATAATTTATGGCAAAATATGTCACGATGAAAAGCTAATAAAATATAAATATGCTTGCTTCAAGTTGTGCCCAAATTAAGTTGTAAATCTACTTTAAGCTATAGAATATTTACCGAAAATATCGAGTAACTATATTATATGGAAAAATAATAATATTGTATTAATGTGTGCGTGTATAAAATATATATTTTTTGTAATGTAGAAAAAACAAGTTCCTGACTTCTTTTAATGCTAACATTTGGTATGAGTTATAGTTAATATTATTATCGTTTGTATTTTAGATTAATTTTTATAATATTTCCTACGTATTAACTATAGAAATTGTGTTAAAAGAACAAAGTTTAGGGTCTAAATATAGTATAAGACAGTTTTTCATAAAAACTAAAAAAAACATGAATATAGTACGTAATAATACTTATTGTAAATTGTAATTAGCATATATATTAAGCAATTAAGTCATACTTGTTTAAAATGTATTTAAAACCTGAAATAAACGATTAATAATATATAGCCAAGAATTTAGAGAATTATTGCATTTTTCTGTTGACTCCTATCCAATAACACCTGAAAATATAATAAATACAAAGGTTATGCATTTGATTTTATAGCTGGTTATTATATTTTTAATACTTTAAAAGTTTAAACTGAATATTTCAACTTGTTAAACTTTGTTTATCTATGTCGCCATATAAAAATATTTCAAAATCATATAAAAACAAAGCAACCGAGTAAAGCCTTAAAAAAGTTTTAACATCAAATTAACATTATTAAAATATTTGTATTAGTCATTTATGACCTAACATTTGTTTTTATTGCTTACATTAAAATTGTTTTGGCATTACAGAAATCAAGCTGACATTCTTAAGCATATATAGTATATACGTGTATATATGATATAAGTGATATTATTGTACACTTTAAATCTGTTTTTAAAAAACTTTCTTAGAAATTTTCTATTATACGGATAGAACTTGAACATGAATCATATTTAATTTTATTGATATAAGTTAATAATTAGATTAAGACAAAATATTTGTCTTTCTCTTTACATTATGTATATAATATTCAAGGAGCGAAAATTACTTGAAATTTAAAATGAAATAGAAATGAATATAGTTGTCACTGTAATGTAACGAATGATCCGAGGTTTAATATAAAATAATTAAATTAGTAGAAAATTATTGATTGCAGTTTGAACTAAAATCATTATGCTATAAAGGTATAATGGGAAGCACTGTTAGAGACATTATCATTTTTGTTTTCCTCATTAAAAAGAGGAACAATAAATTAATTGAAAATTAGATTTTTAATATTGGTATGAAAATGGAATTTTTTTTTGCATCTGAGCATAAACAAAATTACAATAGGTTATCAGACGATGATGGTTATAATAAATAACAAACATGAGGAGGCGTTCTGTGGAAATCACTTATAACAGTTATACTTCGAGAAATTAATTTAAATAATTTATATCATAGCCATCAAAAACTAATCAAAAAGGTAACAAATTATGAAAAGAAACAAATGTTGATAGTTATTTTACATTTTTACTAATGTTTAGTACAATGAAAACGGTTATAAGATTATCCATAGCCATAAGTCTGCATTAAATTATTTCATCTCTAAAATTGTATTATTTTCTCATAATGGCGTTGTTTTAAAGGTCACGTACACAATTCGATTATAGCCACCTTCTCCACTTATAAGGCTGGTATATGATGTTTTTGATAATGTACTATTTTAGTATTATTGTTAAAACGTGTATGAAACGAACTCAAGCAATTATATTGAATGTCAAGTAACAAAGTCCGATTGATGTTAAACAAACATTACTCGCGTAATACAATAATACGTTGCTGGAACGTTTTAAGGAATTACTATTGTTTTATAAATTATAATCATAAACAATAATTACGGTAGATAATGGTTTTGTAGGGCTCGAGGATTACGAAAACGCGGTCATACACATTCACGAGCACGCATGACATCAAAGAAAAGTTCACAGAAAAGAGACAGACCTATTACACCGAATTACTGCGGGTAGGTACCTATTACAATTATTTACAAAGTGCTCACAACCGGCTGAAAATCATATCGTGTTTGGACAATATTTCACGTGCAATATATATCGAAATAATTATCGTATGAGGCAACGGTCGTGCGGGTTTTTTTCATTTTTGGATATAAATTCGAACATTTCAGAGACAAGTTTAATATATTATTTTCAGAGTATAAAGTTTGTGTTATTGATGAATTATGAGGGGTAACGACGGTTATGGTCCACCTGGAATAGGATCCTCGTATATCAAAATTACATAAATTGGATTAAAAACATGAAATATATGGAAAATTAAAATAGTGAGTGTATCTAATAAACCTATATTAGTGTTTTACAGATTGGAGTATCAAAATTACTTTGCCCCATAAAAAAATATGCTAAGAATTTTTGTTTGCTAATTTTTTAATACTCGTATATATAATTAAGTATTTTACTAACAAATATATACGTCAAATCGATATAGTGAATAATATAATAGGTACAAAATGTTCAAAGTTAACATTATTTATTGATATTTGTTGGTGTTAATATATTGTAAAAAGATAAATATTTTTCTGTTCAACACTATCAAACGAACATAAAAAAATAAATCATCATTCATAGTGTACAAGATGCTTTATTTTGTTTTCAGCCTGTAGATGAATCTATCAACGAAATAGGAATTAAATAGAACATTAATATTGAGTCATTAATTTTTATAAAAATTAATTTTACGTCGAAATGGAATACGTGTAATATAATTTATATTACAACTCAATCTATAATCGGAAATGGATTCGTTGTGGAAACAATTTGACCGTGATGAAATAGTCTCTCCGTTGTTTTTCTATTTACAATCCGACAGTCTGCTGTCGTTCGCTATTTAATAGAAGCCGACTAGCGTATTTGGCAAGTTCATGTCGTTGAAACTTGTAACAGTTTAATGTTCTAATATTAAATTCTGTTACCGAGTACCTGGTGTCCAGGTGGTGTGTAGTCGAAAAACACGTAAATGTGGATGTACCGAAATCACCTATACACCGCGCCGGCCTACGGATAAGGTAATGGTGTGCTATTAAAATAAAGTTACCTATTGAAAAAAAGTGGACAAGTGGGTAACACTCTGCTACACGCGTTGGGTGTTTAGAAAAATCACTGCAAATTTTAATGGATGTGTTGAATTTGAAATTGATATTTAATCATTGTAGGTATACGAAAAACGAGTCTGAGCGAAAACGGCATGTTAGAGTATCAGCCAATAATATGACTAAGTACATTTTTTGATTAATTGTGATTAACGATTAGTTTGACACAATGAATACAATTTTATTGAAATTTTAAATGTCTGTAAAAACAGCTTAAAACGAGTAAAAAATACGAAAACTTATAAAATGAACATTTTCTGTAAATTTCAAGTATCTACGGTTGTTCGTTTTTAATTTATATCAAAATCAGAAATTTATTACATGAGAAATCTTTAGTTCACTGGTGAATATTCAATATATGGAAAATTTGAACTTCAGACGCTCATAACTATCAAATTCGATTTTCCGGTAAATAATTTTTTATGTTAAAGACATATAAACTTATGATGAATCTTGTAATTAATTTTCAAATCTTAGATATAAAAAGAAATATTTTTATGAATTTATAACTCAAAATAGTTGTATTCAATTTTCAAGAGTTTTGATTGAAGGAACATTTTATTATCGACATTAATTTTTAAAAAACTAACAAAAATCGAAAATTGAATATGCTTATTATAAACTATGTTGAGTCAAAATATTTTAAAAATTGTATGATGTATTATTACATTCAGTGAAATTGTCATGTGTTTACGGTAATTTGTCTTAGAATTACACAAAAAAAACCAAAATTGATTCTGTTGATTCAGTTTAATCAACAGAATCGATTTTGGTTTTTTTTTTCTGATTTTGTTAAAAAATTCTTATTTTTCCTTAATTATATGAATATTTTATTTTTGATCCTGGTGGTATTGAAAATTACTAGGAAAACCGAAGCGTTATTCGACCACTTATTGTGA